CAGAATAAGCTCTTATTCTAGGTAAGAGGTTGCGAATTAACACTCATCTCTCTAGTTAAGTTTATAAAGATTTCTTCGGTGTGTCTGAGAAGTTTTGTGGAAGATGTTTGACTAAATCCGGGTCTTTGTTTAGTATTGCATATTGAAATCTTGTGTTACTTCTGTGTGTGTTACTGTAGGGTTAACCTGCTGTGAAAATGCCTTCATATTCCTGTGATGAAGGGCATCAATCAACGTAACACCCTGAAATGTGGACCCTTATCATAACTAGTGTACCGTTATATGTCATAACAGTTGGAAACAAATGAAAGACCATTCATTAGACAAGATAAATGTTCTGTCACTGATTGTTTATCACAGTTTATCATTTTGAAACTGTGTTGACTCATCGATTAAAAATGTTTTTAGGTTTTTGTTTATTAAAGGTCCATTCATCTAAATAATTGCTCAAATACAACTTGTGTTTTTTTATGAAACTGTTGCTGTATGTTGTAATCAAATTGATGTAGCATTATTTTCCACTCCTTTACTTCTTTGTGGCCTCATGCTGCTTTGAAACTGACAATGTTAGTGATGATTGATTCTGGAAATAATGAAATTACACCAAGATAGGATTCACATATTAATCCAGAAACAAAAAATACTAAATGCGATTCTGTTCATAAAACATTTATCCTAATGCAAATACAACGGTCATGTAATAATAATGATAATGATTTAGTAATGATCGTAAAGGCTGATTAGTCTTCAGATACACAGCATTCATAAATGTTATGTTTAACTTAATAAACTACGGTAATGTTGCATTGTACAACATTTATTAGCTAAAATGTTAAACTACTCAACATAAGGAGAACGCAAACGACACCTAAGATCAGAATGTGTGCTCTACATGATGGTTAGATTCAGTCAACAGCAAGAAGACCCAGAGAGTGTGTCCTAGTTTTGTGGTGAACAACTGAAGACAGTGCGCTGCTCCGGTCAAAATCCCATTAACACGAAAAATCCCAAATGGAGACAAAGCAGCTCCTTTTACCCTTTTGTGTATGTGTGGCTGCGATTCTGTGTGTGTGTGTGTGTGTGTGTGCGTGCATGAATTTGTAGGCATGCATGTGTGTTCTGTGTATATTACCCTTGTCTGCGCAACATCAGTAAAGC